CCATCCATCCATCGATTTTATTATACGCCGTAGACGTTGTAGCAACCCCGGAGCAGGTGTTACTACAGAAAAGGGAGAATCGAGGGCCCGCTCTTCCTCGATACGATTACGCAAGCCCGATAATAACGAGGTAATTCGCCGGGGTTCGCGAATTAGGCGAGTATATATATATATCGATCCCTCTCGGCCCCTCTCGAAATCGCTCCGCCGATTGAGACGCCTTTCTCAAGGTAACTCGGCCTCGTAATATCGAAATCCTCTGTCCATAATCGCGGCACAAAATCGGCTCCCCCTCCCCCCAAAAAAGAAGAAAAAGAAACCGCTTGCGCTTCGCCCAAGGGTGTATAATGACACTAAATTGCCGCTCCTATCCTAGGAGAGACGAAAGGGAACGAGAGGGAGAGGGGGGCAGAGAGAGATTGGCCGAAAGTTATCCAATCCACCTGGATATATCCCCCGATCCGATGACCGTAAAAATCGTTGCGCGTTTCGAGTTTTCCCGGCGAGTCGGTCGGAATGCAAATGACCTTGGACATCGAGTCGAGGAAAGGAAGGAGGAAAGACGGGCGGTCGGCGGCTACCGAAAGGAGGTGGAGGCTGGGAAGAAGGGACCGAAGCGGATTCGGACGTGGAAAGGTAAAGGCGAAAGGGTCCGCGGAAGCGGCAGGAAATTAAAGTCTGGCGGGCCGCTTAGCCATTAGCGGCCGGCGCCATCGAGGCGACACGCCCCCACGCGGTTCAAGCTTGCACCAACCGAAGACAACGCGCACCCTTCGAGCGTGGAGACAAAAGAGCGACGGAGAGAGAGAGAGAGAGGTACCCTACCAATCCCCGTGGTCACCCCGTGCTTGTAACTTCGGGCAAGGTTGCCAGGGTAATAACCACGCTTGCGGTCAACGTCGCAGCGCTCCTTTCCGCTCTTTAAAAGAAAAAAAAAGAAAGAAAATCTCTCTCTCTTTCTGGAGGTCGTCGTCCTCCCTCTATCCGCTCTATCCTCGTTAGAGCGTCGTTTCGAAAAAAAATTTCCATCCACTCATCTCGAACGTAACGCTTTCAGGAACGAGCGTCGCTTCTCCCTCGTTTCCCTCCACCCCAAAGGGGTGGATCGTACGACTGGGGCGAGAAAACGGGCGAACAAAGGGGAGGGAAGAGAGAGAGAGAGAGAGAGAGGAGGGAGAGGTAGAGTGGTATCTCTCGGCCGGTGGTGTACGAGCCACGCCCTCTTCGAGGTTCGTGAGTGCAGGTTGTAGGTAGGCTACGTATTGATCCGGCGGAACGATATGACAGTGGCCTGGCGGAGACAACGACGTCTCTCAATTAGCCCGCTCACTCTCTTTCTCTCTCTCTCTCTTCCCTTTCTTCATTCTATATCCTCGCTCGAAGGCGCGAGAAAAAGTTCGTTCCACTTAACGGGCCCTATATAGGTCGGATATAGGTTTCGGGACGAGATTATTATTACCCGATTTTGCTATTTTATCCCGAGTGGAAAACGGGATGTTCGCAGGTTATTAATCGAGGGCGATATTAGCAGCAGCAGAACAACAGGGGCCGCTCTGTAATTACGCGTAGAACGTGGAACGTGGAACGTTGCGGCGCCTTCGAGTCGAGGAGAAACTCTCTCCTCTCCTCG